ACGACAGATGTGATGGTAGGTGGACGGAAGAAAAGTAGAAGACTGGTGGACTGCATGATGCTGACTAGATAGGAATGAATGCGTGTAGAAAACCATTGTAGCGTTCTATGCCCCCGATCCGAGCAACGGCGAAGACGAGAAGACCCTCGTGAAGAAGGAGCCGACCAGTCAGAAGGTGGACTGCAGCTGGGTCTTCTAAGTGCTGAGTGATGCAGGTGTACTGACTGTTTATGTTGCTGAAAAGGGGGCTATTTCGTTCTCAGCGCAGCAGAACGGGCCTCACTGGGTCTGCGTCAGTCTGGACTCGTCCAACTACGCTCTTCCGGACGATGCATCGATGGTGAGCTAACTTTTGTGCCGTCGAGCTGGCTGCTCTTGTAGTACCTTCTCCGACTTACACTGGATGTGTTGCTAGCGCTTTGCATTGAAGCTGAGCATGGGCACGAGTCACGAAGAGTACCAGAACCTGGCGAAGAAGAATCAGATGGATGATCTTCACTTGGAAATCATGAAGCTTCGAGATCGTGTCAGCGCTATTCAGCGCAACCAAGACTATGCCAAGGTTCGACGATCGATCTGCATCAGTATGTGTTGAACGCTATGGTTCCTGACTGGTGACGACTTTTTGGTTGTTTTGCTATCTGAAACAGGAGAAGAGCATGACACTACAATCGTCGATTGAGAGCAGCAACCACCGCGCTACTTGGGTGTCTGTGCTACAGGTAAGATGTGTAACATCGTCACAATGATATGTCATTGCCGACCTGGTGTGTGTTTGCAGATTGCCATACTACTTGCCACTGGCTTCTATCAGGCTAAGCACCTTCAAACATACTTTCACAAGAGGAAGTTGGTGTAATGCAGGCATCGAAAGCTCCCAGCTCCGAGTTTTTTTCTTCGGGAAAAGACAAATATACGTCCTTGTAGGGAAAATCCGGTTTGGAGTCCGATTTTATAAATAGTACGTTTGTGTTTTGATAAGCTAACAGCAAAACAATGCTGTGTATGAGAGACAACGTCGCGTTGTGCACGAAGAAGCTCTAAAATTTGAAAAGCAATGATATTTTACGAAGCCGCGCTTCACACGGAGCAGCTCTGGATTTTATGCGACTAAAGCTTTGTTTCGTCATGGACGTAAGGTACCCTCAGATGACTTACATCCACTCAACTCCGACTGACCGAAGTTCTTGCTTCGTAGAGAAAGCATACATGTTGAGGCATCATCAATTTTACTAGCACATGTAGGTAGTTCAAACCAATAACTAAAAAGAGTTCTGGAAAGGGGCGTTAAGGTAAAGCGAACTTATTATAAGTGAAAAATAAGTTAGCATCTCCGATATTTAATGAAATTTTATTTTGCTTAAACTAACGTGCAGTTGAGGTTGAAGCGCTACTATGAAAAGAGCTTGAGGCCCGGAACAACGCCAACTACGTATGGTACTGCTGCGACTCGAAGGAGTTGGCGCTGGGCTTGGCATGAGATGAGTCGGAGGACTCGAAAGAAAAGTTCGGACCGGAATTCACCACGACGATGACGTACTTATGTATTTGTACCTGCGCGCTATTGAAGGTCCCATCGCTAACTTAGTAATGCCCAAGTGTTAGCGACGCAGGAGGGAGGACCTCCAAGAGCCAACGAACCACGACGGCTGTAGCAGTGTCCATGGAGCTATTTGGCAGAACAAGCAATGAAGAAGGTGACGCATGAAGCTAATGGAGAAGGCGCTCACGCTTTCGTTCAATCACCAAGGGATTGATCATGTATTAATCGAGCGCTAGAGATGAAACTGGGATCTTTAGAGGAGCATGCAGATGGACACGTCGTACATATTGTAACAGCGTTGGAACTAACTGCGTAGAGCTTCATGCCACCGCACAACATCTAATAGTGTTTACCGCAGCAGGACTACAGCACTTCAAAGTAAGAGCTGTTGAAGAAGGCATGCAACTTAAGCGAAATGCAATGTTGTATTTGATATGAATGTAGGCAAGTTCTCCTACTTATAGCAGTCACTGAGTTCCTGCGGAAAGAATAAAAGCTTGGCGAGACCTTTAGGAAGAACTCTACGACCGAGAACTCCGTCGTCTCAAAGTAAGAAATCCAACTTACAGCAGTCGCCCAGCCATCCATCCAAGCAGCCACAAGCCTGACATCACGAGCGAAGACGTCATGGAAAGCGGTGCTGCACCAGATGAGTCGCCCGTGTTCGCCGAACCAGTACCAGTCGGCGCAGGCGTTGAGGTCGGAGCCGTCGTAGGTTCCGACGTAGGAGTTGTTGTAGGCACTGTCGTCGGGGCAGCGGTTTTTGGGGTAACAGTCGGCTCCGGAGTGGAACTAAACGCATAGTACTTGGTGCTTCCAACACACTGGTGTGAAGACAGTTGCTGCTTCGTCAGCGGAGTCGTGAAAGGTGTGGCATCCTTGCACTCCTTATCTTCGTACGTGAGCATCGTCCCAGCTCCGTCAGCGGCCAACGTCACCGTGAAGCTCGACGCCCCGTCGATACTTAGGTGGCACTTCGTGTCTGCAACGAATGCCATCACGCCTTCCATTACGCCACATGCAGTTCCATCCTGGAAAACTTCCGCGACGATAAACGGACTTGAGTTGCCAAACGCTTTCTTCGCGGCAGCCATGTAGTCGTTTCCGCATGTGTACGAGATTGAGCGATCTCCATAAGCAAAGCAGCCGGCATCTGCACACGAGAATTGGCTTGTCAATGTTATCTGAGTTGGTGCCGTGCACGTTTTGCTTTCCGAAACAGCAACAGCAGACCACGCCATACCAGTTGCCCCAGCACCAAACACCTTCGTGTCGGAAAAGCATACGTGGACAGTGCCTTGAGCAGCATTCACTTTCAACAGCGTCCCCACTGCTCCACACACAGCATCCGTATATTCTTGAACGCGCGCAGAGCCATCAGGTTTTCGGGTTGCGACGTAGCTCTTCGATGTGTCGGTCTTGTGGCATTTGCCGTCCGCCACGTACGTTGTGATACCAGACAGTTCCGCCACAGCGCAATTCTGTGCGGAATTGTACTTCTCCACGATAACATACGGGTTTGGCCCGAACGCAGCGGCCATTTCGTCCTTGTATGTCAGAGTAGAGCTGCACGACGTTCCCGTGTAAGGAGCTGCTTGACCAGTGCAGGCCGTTGTCGCCGAGCACGCATCCACAGCGACGACGCTCGATGTCACCAACGACGGTAGACCCGACTTACACGAATTCGCATTCGTATCATAGTT